CTGTTGGAAAAACAGTTAAAACACTGCCACGTACAAAATACGCTGGGGTTCCAGTTGGGTTTTGCATAACAAAGTTTGTATAGCAAAGTCAAATCAAGTCCAATTGGCACATTTAAGATAAACACAGGAAGAAGGCAATGAGTCCCAATACACTGCTCCTAAAAGAAGTCTACAAGAAACATCCAATGGACAGGGCACACTTCAGAAGACCACGCATTCATATCACTTAGGTGTATTTAAGACAATGTTAATGTGAAATACCTGGTAAATTCCTGATAATCAGCAATTTCTTCCAGTTTATCTTGTGACAGAGCAGTAGTGGCACCTTCTGAGATCTGCAAGTCTTCTACTTTGATCATAGTTTTCCCTTCTTCCTCCCTATTACTACTTTTTTCTGGTCTCTTTATGGCTATTGATAAATCCTCTAGATGTTCTACTATGTCCTGTTGAAATTAAGAAACATTTTGCATTAGACAACAAAACTGTTTCCCTACCCTTCTAAATAGTGGTGTAGCCTACTCAGATGCTAAATTGCACGTAGTAAAAGATTGAAAGTCTCACTAAAGAGAATAAAAAGCAATTCATCTCTTGAAAATCATTTTGGATACATTGAGCTATACAGTGTCATCAGTTCAATATACATACAATTAGTTGTCAGTTCTTTTTATATAAGAAGTCATGACATGACATGGCTCTTTGAAGTCATCCACTAAGACTTCTTTTAATCTATCCCCAATTAGTCTTTGAAGCTAACAGCAGATTGACTTCATTACTCTAGTAAGTGTCAGGACCAAAACATGTCCAAGCAACTTGTCTAAGCAACATGTAGAGTAACATTAAATGGGCACTCGTTCCTGCAAAACACTATCTAAAATTACTGCGCTGGAAAACGTGTAAGAAAGACAATTAAAAATCAGTGTCTGCAAGAAGAGATGCAGTAGCAAATTGCCTAACTCCAATGCACAGAATAACTACCAAAAATCCCCCCTCTTCCTCCAGTGTAGACAAGCCTTCATTTTACCCATGTAGCTTATGCTGCTCAAATTGGTTTAAGTTTTTATAGGCAAACTTATTTGGATTCAGACAAAAATTACCTTTGCCTGTATCCTTTCTATATCAGCAATACTACTTTCTGTTCATCTCATTACAAATTATTAAAAATACCCTCTGTGATAATCTTTTATGCCTAGGGATTATACAGGAGCCTCAAGCTGCTTTAAAACATAATTAAAATTCACATTTTTGCAGTACTATTAGTATTAGGGCTTATTCTCTCTTTTAATGTCAGATCTTCTTAGGGATCTGCAATTCCATTCATTCCAGTAGAGGGCTGTGGCAAACAGTGTTACTGGACAGGAAACCAAGTACATTTTAGATATTTCTCCAAAGCATTGCAAAATGAAAGCAAAAACCATTGAGGTCAGATGCTAATCCTTCATACATACACAAAGAAATGCTGCCAATAAAATAATAAAATACCTCAGGATGTTGTGGAATAGTGGAATCTTGATGGTTGGTGACCTTTTTGCCATCTTTTTCAATTTCTAACTCTTCTCCTACTAGTAATGGCACTTCTTTTTCATTGGAAGAATTCATGTGACTGTTAATATCTGTTGTTTCCTCCTCGCCACTCTCAGTATCCATTTCTGATGGAGGGACACCTAGCTTATTCCCTAAGTCTGGCTCTGGAGCATCTTCCTTGTAGTTCTGTTCTGGTAAGCCCTTCTCATGTAAAACATCCATTACTGTTTCAGAAGAAGCTTTGTCATTTCCAGTATCATATCCTTCAATACAAGGCTCAAGGTAAGCATCCAAAACTGCTGATATGGGAACATTATAATGCGGATAATAAAAGAGATCATGGGGTATTACAGATACTTTTGAAGAACTGGGTAGCACTTCAGCTGCAGGCTCAGCTTCATCACAGCTGTCCAGGTCCTCTGGATTTTTAGGTACATCTGAGAGAGAGTCATCAGATGTTTCATGTGTAGATAGTTCTTGGCTTTTGAGATTAGAACCATTCAGTGAACAATGGTTAGTTTCTATTGTCTCAAAGACAGGTGATTGCTTTGTATGTTCATTTTGTGGAATTTTCAGTATTTCCTCATTTAGAAGATGAAGAACATACTTATGCGTATCTTCTTGTTTTGAGGTATCTTCTGGTAAAAGAATTGAAGTTTGGGGTTTGCTCTCTTCTACTTTATTTATAGATTCATCTGTAAGTATACCTGAAGTCCAGGATAATGGACTCAAAGAAGATGTATTGGCTGAAAGGCTCTTAGTTTCGTTGTCATATTCAGTAGAGGTTTCTTTAGTTAATTCTTCAGAGTAGTCTTCAAAAGAGTCAACAGAATCTTTCTGATCTGTCAGAACAGCTGGAGAAAGGTCATCATTCTGTTTCAGAGGATCATCAGATATGCCCCTGTCACCTGGCATGAATTTATCACTTAGAACCTCCCAAGAGGAATTGGATTCAAAACTGACGGATCCTGTAATTTTCAGTGAGGTAGGCCTCTGAGGCTCCTCTTCAGACATTTCCTGTGCATCACCTGACGCTTGACTCAATTTCCCATTACAGTTTTCAGGAACGGTTTCTGATGGAATTCTCTCAGGTGTGTCATGAATGTGAACCTTTGGAGGAGCAGGATGACTCCTTTCGTGATTAACGGTATACATGTTTTCTTCACTTTCACTTAAAATCAAGATTTTGCTTTCCTTTTCTGAAGGTGTGTCTTTGATGTGGACATATGTGGACTCAATTGGAAGCTCCTTGTCAGGATCTGTAAAGTCTTCCTATAAATGATGATACACCATTAAAAGACAAATCGTAACTCAGATAGCATTTTACTTTTCCCAAACACTACAGAAAGAATAACTACCTAGCCCATCACCTCATTGCCTTGTGAATGGCCAGCTAATGACTCACTTATTTTGAAAGCAGGGAAACCAATTTGGCAAGTCAAGTGAGTTGAACAAAGCTTAACGTCAAGAAGCCACTCCTACAGTAAGATTAGAATGCAGACAAGCCTACTCCTCAGTTGTTAATGTATTAATCTCTCCCTGCTGCACCTGTGGAGACAACTGACTTGGCTTTTTGACACAATCCCAAACCCTGGGAATAAAATAAATCTAACAAGTCCACTAAATCCACTGTGAAATATATTCATATACGAGATTATTCCATTCCAAGAAACTGTATTTGAAAAAAAAGTAGGCTTTTTCTTTGCTCAGTAAAATGCCCCCAAGTCATAATGCCAACAGATCTTAATGCTCATCTAATCTAATAATCATAATTAGATTATTACAATAATTTTAATTCCAGTGACTTTAGTAATGCCCACCAATTTTATAAGCTACAAAATACACACCAACTGAACATTCAGTCAAGAAATGAGAGGAAATGCCTTTCATGTAGGAACCATCATTTATGTGCATGTACTCTAGCACAAAAACTTACCCAGATACTCCAGGGACACCGAGTCCCTTGGGAAGCCTTTCAAACCAAAAAGACTATGTTGAACTAGGTCTGTCGGGAAGTACGAGCAGCCTCCAGAACAGTTTTTCAACTTATGCACATCTCCAGTTCCTGGGACTTCCCATTTTTCCTCAAGTTTTCTGTCTCCTATCCTTTAATTCCTCTATAAGTTTACCCTCTGTTTCTCCAAAAGACCTTTGTCAGTCCCTGACACTGTCAGTCCCTGCTTGCTCCTCAATTCTTTATTTTTGATAAAGGCTGCATTAAAGTCCTGGTCCTTTAAGCTGCCGTTTATTTCATGCTTACAATGTGTGCTTTTGACTGCTGCATTGACAAGATTCAGCCTCTGGTATCTTGTGTCTGATACCTGCTAAATTCAGATTGATTGTGGCCCTCAAACTTGAGAAGACAGAAGGCAAAATGAAATTCAAAGTCCAATGAATCATCATAGATGAAAGGATAAATTTCAGCCTTATTCTGATCAAAGCAGTGGAGCCCTATGTAACCAGTTCTAACCTCTGAAAGTTATAATTGGATCCAAATGTTTAAAAGCACAAGTCTACCTAAAGCATTGTAGCAATCGCCAATGAAAGCACATTTGACTGGATTTAACAAAAATGTGAAAAATTAAAACTGAGTTCCTGGTTTATTTTAACTACTTCAGAAAGAAACGTAGAAGATAAATACAGAAATATCTGACTTCATTAAGTACACCAAAGCAAATAAAAAAAATGACATGACGTAGGAGTAAACACATACCCCTTCCAGCTCCGGGAAGTGTTCCAGAAATTGCGCCACGTATGTCACAATTGACTGTTCGTCGGGTGATTCCACCATGATATCTATGGAGACAGACGCAAGGGGCTTGAGTGCACATGGCTTTGAAATGCTCTTGCAGAGGAACAGATCGTCAGACATTTATCCTGCCTTTATGATGAGAGAAATAACAGCTACAAATACTTTTTTTTTCTGACAGATCAGAGAGGCTGGAATCCTTTTCACTGTTGATGGCACTTGAAAGAGTTGTCAAGGTCTTACTCACATTATTTTTTTCCTATTTCCAAACACATACCGAACCCTGACCAGGGACCCTTATCATCCACTTTCATGCTGTTATTAGATGGTGATCTTTTTAAGTGACAGCACAGAGGTTTATTTTTAGCAGGATGGCCTAGTCTTTTAACAGGTGACCCATGAAAGCACAAATAACCAATCTGTGCTTTCAATCATAAAATCAAGGCTTAATACCTGTCTAGTAGAGTTCAGTAAAAAATTTAGACTGCAAGAAGCATCTCCATTTATATATATATATTTATATACACACATATATGCTTGTGTACACACATATATATGTGTGTATATATGCATTGTAAAGGAAAAACTGGGAGATGCAAACACATTTGAATAGGTATCTACCCATTTTCCTGGTATAGCAGACTCGCACACTTCATGCTGGGGTGACATTTAGTAGGCATTACGAAATGGTGCTAATGCATTGAGACACCTCTCAGCACATCACGGTGGTGATCAATGCCTGCTAGTAATGCAGATGTCACATAGCATCTAAACATTAACAAGGACCAGTGTACATAGCTAAAACTATGGTGAGATCTCTGCCCCCAAGGAGCTAACAAATATGACTGGAAGTATACGACTACAAGCCAGTGACCAATTCATTTTTATTTTTCTTATCAATCAGCCCAACACACTCATCACATCAACACCCTGATCTCTGGGAGGTTTTTGATAGGTATCACAATGCAATATTCATTAATTCATTATAGTTTGAAAGTTACCCAACAAAGTTGATATAGGCGTTTTACCTTCTGGTTCTAGGAGCCGAGGAATACCCAGCTTATTTTGTGCTATGCTGAAAGCATCCTCCAGGTTTTCTCGAGCTGATTTCTCCAGTGCTTGCTTCATGTCTACCAAAGTAGTGTCTATTGCTTTTATGATAGCTAAGAAGGCAAGGCCACTCCTCCAACTGCTGGCAAAGTCCTGAACTGCAACGCCGTACCTGAACAGAATTACACACAGTTTACATGGGTGTTTGTGTTACAAAATCCAAAGTAAAGGCATCATTTTCAAGGACTCCTGAAAGTTAGAAGTAAGGTTGCTGAGTTGCAGTAGTCACATTTGAGATTTTTTTGGATTTCAAAATGCACAAAATACGTCCATAAAACACAAGGACTCACAAACTGAATCGGTGTGGCTAACAGCTGACATCAACCTGCTTGTAGGAAGTAGTTAGTAAAAACAAAGCCCTCAAGAACTCAGCAACCACATTTAATATTCACAAAACCAAATGTCTCTGTGATTCCTGCTTCTATTGCTCTCCAGCATTTTAATGCCATAGCTTGGGAAGAAGCTTGGGAAGACTGCCAGCACCTAAGTATTTAAAAACATAAGCATAAATGATTCACATTCCTGTGTACTTGGCCTTCTATAGCAGAAAATTGTGCTTTGCCAAATGCAAATGATGTCAGTGTATGTATAAACCACAAGTTTGTTAGGTGCCCAAAGTTTTAGAGGAAAAAACAACCATCAAACTTGCAATGAAATACAGCCCCAGAATAGAAAATTCTGCACAGGTCATTGGATAACAGGATGCTATTATGTTTTTAATAGTGCAGGTGCAAGAACAAGTTTCTCCTATTAGGTATTTTCCAATTGAACTCTTTGACTGGACTGAAAAGTCTGTGGCCGTTACTTCTCTGGTCCTCACTTTCCTTGTACCACTTCCCTGTTAATGACATTATCAGCATTATCTGGGGCCTAACACCATGCTTCCTCTACAGTCTGCACTGGCAGCAGTGAACTACAGATCTCAATGGGACAAGTTTATCTACACAACAAGCACCTTTAGCTTCACTGGAGATAACCAAGGGATGATGTGGACCAGAGGACCAAGTATTTAAGATGTAAATTTTTATCTTCAACCCTAGACACAGAACATTTGTGTTCACAGGCAGATTTGGACATATAAATCCATCAACAGACAAAAATGCCAAATTTTCAGCTACCCAACTTGTATAAGTAAGTTTGACCCATGCCCTCTTTAAAACACTCTGGCAGTCATTGCTTCAGATAACAATATATGTGTAAAATACACTCCAAGCATTTACATGTGCACTAGACATCTCACACTGAAGTTTCTTAACCCAACAGTAACTTTGCCAGGTTAAAGCATTACTAGACAAAATGCTTTGGCGAAAGAACTACTTTTTTATTAAAGAGGAGAGAGATGTGTTGAGCAATGGAAATGGACCCAAATGCTACAAGTTCACAAGAACTGACCTAAGATTCACCCCCTTCTTCTCTTTAATTCAGAGGGAAGAGGGACTCTAATACGGGCTCTGTCCTTCAAGGCACTCTGCAGCACACAGAGAAGCTCCCTCAGGCCTGCTGCTTACTTTAAGAGGCTGTTCCTGAAGTCTTTCAATGCATTTATTTTTTCAGTTCACCCCTTGTTTATGCCTACCCTTTAATTAGCAAAAGATATCAAATAGACTGCACAAAAGCCAGGGGGTAGGGGGAGGAGGGAACAATCCTGTTTTAAACGGCGCCAAGCAGATTAGTGCAAGTTAACATTTAACATTCAGATCATGATGCCAGCAATGCACACGGCTTCAAGGTCAGACGGCCGCTGTCGACACAGGGCCGTAGTGATATACCCCCCTGCAGAGACGTGCGCCTGCCAACTTCCAAAGCAGAAGAAGCCACAGCGCGTGGTAGTGCACACACGGGGCACGAGAGAGAAAAGAGTTTCAGCTTCAAAAGTGCAGGCGGCAAAACATGGTTTTCCACCAGGGTTTGTTAGCTTACTTTCTGGTTTTCCTCTGAACCCAGATTAAAAGGGCTCTGATGGCTTTCCTCTGATCCTTCACTGTAACAGACACATTTCTCTCCACGCTGGGAGTGCTGGGGTGGGACGTGTCTGACTCGGGACCACTGGGCCCGGAGGACAGGCTGGAGGAGGAGGAGTTCCTGTTGAGGTTGCCTGTCAGCTCCTTAATCTGTAAAAAAAGGCAAAACACGCAGTGCTGTGGTTTAACACTGGCTGCACAGAGAACTCAGTGCTTGTTTTCATGCAAGCTCTAAAGATAACAGTGCCATAACTGAATTTTAAGAGGTTGTTATAGGCCTGTCCATTATAACTCTCAACTTGTATTGCACAGGCGTGACAGCCAGCAGCAGCCCAGCTGGCAACCCCAGGAGACAGACAGGGCAAGGTATCGGTTAAGGCTGCACTCAGCAAATTTGTATTAAACAAAAAGCAGAGAAACATATCCTTGAAAGAAAAGTTAGTTTAACTGAAATCGTTCTTTCTCTTCATGGGACTTGCCTGAGTGTAATATTTTTAGTCAAGAAATGGTGACTGCAGCAGCACTCTTGGCCTTGGTCAGCATTGATACTGAGTCCAAATTACCCACTCCGCTGCTTTTAGGCCCCCCATGCCCTCTGCTGCCGGGGTGACAGATTCTGGTCGCACCATCTCTGCCCGCGAGTCCGTCTGGCCAAACTGGTGCTGTGCACCACTGTTCAGCTTGAGGAGCTCAGCTAGGGA